AGGTGGCCTGGGAATCAGCACAACCACTAGTGCAATAATGGAAGTCACTAATGCCTCAAGATTGCATGCAGTGACCTCTGGTTTAGCCAAAATCGCTGCATCAGTTTCATCAGCCACGTTTCTTAACCTCATCTTGGGACCAAAGGTGATGAAAATCGAACACTCGGCACGTTGTATACACACGTGTCCGAAATCTTGGTACTGATGAATTCCTTTTGTTCGCCTTTTCTTCGTTTTTTTATTGAAGAGGTGGTCTTCTGACTCAAAACAAAAGGCTCGGTGGCTATTCAAATTTTGTAGATTCTTGTCAGTTTTAGACAACATTACCGGTTACTCTTCAAAATAAGCTAGCTATTATTGAAGTAGACTAGAAAGTCAGACGTATAGCTGCATAAAACTCGTATATTCTATACATTTGCCGAAGTTAATTACTGGAGTGTTTTGTAATTCGGATTGGTAGCACACCCTTGACTCATAGGACCTACGTTCGGTGCTCTTTTGCAATTGCGGATCACTAAAGATGGCAACGTATTTCTTACTGGTATTCCAACCATTTCAGACGACAAAAGTCAATTAGCGGGTTTGGTTCTGCTTCTATGGTTGAATACCGTCCGCGGCGCAGTAAATGACGTAGGCCGTCCGTCTTCCCTGAAACTGACCTAAAAACTTATCTATCTTGTTTGACAACAAACCTGTTTTTTCTTAACTCTGTGCCACTTAAAGGGTGGTTAAATTCTATCTAACATGCCTTCTAAGCAGCGTTCATAGTGTCAGCATGTAAAGTTCCTTTACTCATCAGTAATCCCAGTCATCCACCGTGAACACAAATGCTGCAATGACACTCAAGGAAACAAACTGGAAAACACTTGTGCCCGACTGATTCTTGCTACGCTATGTTCTATCACCTGATAGTAATGACAATCCGGAACTGGCAACTGGACATATGACATTCGGCGGTCTGTGTCGTGATTGCCACAAAACCGAATTCTCGGACTTTCGTGCGACTACGCCCGAAAGGTGGTGCATTACTTTCGAAAGGTGAGCCAAGGGGTCTATATATTACACAATGCTTTTCCTATTTGTATATGAAAAGTTGACTTCGAATAAGAATAACCAGTCTTGCAAGTCTCATCAGAGTGACTGCTTATCATACCAGATGCTGCAAAAAATATCACTGTCTTTGTCTTTCGAAGTAAAATCGGCTTCCATAACAGCTCGGTCACTAGGTTCTAGCCAACCATTGCAAACACTCTAACTGCGCAAGCTTACAAAAGCTGGCTACATTTCAATGTGAACAAATGTGAAGTAAGCTCTATCTCTGTCGGATCGTATTAGAAAGTATTAAACTAACGAACTCAATCAACTCTACTCTGCGAATCTCGAAGACAATAACTTCGAGACGGTCTTTTCCTGATAAATTTTTAATGCCATACGTTCAGGTGGGGTACCTTCATCACTGAATTTATAGTGGATTAAAAACAGTTTTAAATGGGTAATGACCAGCACTCAAAAACTACTTAACATCCTTAGAAATGATCAGAAATGATCCAATGAAGTCTGTCTAGTCTAGCCGAAGAGCAGTATCGCTAGCGTAGCTACCGTAGTGCCTCTACTCAAAAACTCCTGCTTTGAGAAGGCCATTAGGTAACCCTTCATAATGGTTAGTAAACTTAGCTTATTTATGACTACCAATTCTCATTACAGAACAGACTACTCATAAGGCTGCCGAAAATTCTTTAAACATTCACGCTATTCTTTGTGCTCGTCAGACGGGCGCAGTCTTCGGGTTTCTATAACTTTATGTTCTACTTGAATCCCATCTTATACGCAAGTAACGAAACCCCTTTCACCTGCAAATCAGGTTTCTACTAACCAGCCATCTAAACGAAACTTGTTCATAGATTTCTTCAACTGAATGTTTTGGTATTTTCCCTTAGCAGAGTACAATACCCAAGAATGGTAAGACCGATAGGGGCTTTCGATGAGTTTGTGCCACAATAAAGGCAATGGGTTCTGTATCAAGCTACAGTGTGGGCTGTTTTGTCGTATGGCTGTGAGACTTGGCCTATTAGAGCAGCGGAACTGAGACGTCTTCAGGTGTTCGACAATCGTTGTCATGGAACCATAGGTCGTGTGGGTTGGTGTTGGCGTACCCGTAACGAGGCAATCAGAAAGCGCATTTTGAGTTGTGCGACGGGTACTTCCATTGAAGAATGTATCCAGCACCAAAACTTGCGTTGGTTGGGGCGTGCTGCGCATGCCGAACCATCGTTAACCGATAAAAGTGCTGTTTTCCGTGCCCAGCTCAGAGTGGCGGAAGCAAAGAGGCAGCCAACCCTTGACCTGGAAGAGAAGTATGAAGGAGATTACGAAATGTTTGGGTGCTGTCGGTGCTACTCACTTTCTAGGATGGGGACCACGTGATCCCCACTGCACCTGGTTGGAGACACTACAAGCTATGGCTGCCAACCGAAATGAGTGGCGTTCTGGTTGTCATTTCCAGTTGCCTGAGTGGGTGTCTGGTGGTGCACGTACTTCGGAATAATTGGAGTGAACTAACACTGGGTCCCTTCCCCGTCCACCTTAATTATTTCCTTCACAAAAAGGTTTTCAATCAAATCATGGCTGTACGGCAGCGAAGCATTAGTGTACTGATAACATGCTGTCGATGATGATGACGATGATGAAAGGATTCTGTCCAGAAAGCATACTGCTACTTTTCAAATAATGGGGCAAATGAAGCATAGAACAGCCTTCATGTAGCAAATTCAGTCGAATAATATCATAGGCGGTAATCTCAAGTGGGTCTCTGGCAAATGAAGTAATTTGTACGTAAATAAGTTTTGAAAATGAGCAGGTTCCGCTACGAATTTCTTTTTTAAATTGGCAGATGAATAATTTTCTCATTTTTCCTGCTTTATGTTAATACTCTACTTTAAGTGAGACAGTCCAGCAAACTGCTTTGCCCTTCCCCTGGCAGCTTTATTTTTCCGCTTCATCAAACCATACCGGATGAACTCATTGTCAGATCAACGTAACCGGGTCGCACAGGACATCTAATACAAAATTTGATGCACATTGTATGAATAAAAATGACCTTGATAAGGGTGTTGTAACAAATATGTACGCCGAAACTGGCATCCAATAATGTCACATAAACTGAAGAAATAGTTCGGAGAATGCAGCGTACAAGATCATGCATGCTACCCGCAAGGTATTCATGGTGCTAAGCGAGCAAACGTAGTTAGTAGCCCCACACATTTGCGATAAACGGTGAGGACGGGCGACCGGGGGGACCTGCAACTAACCTTGATAGATTAATCTGCTGGGCCCTTAGCCGGATAAAACACCGCCTATATGTTTATTTGTTGGGCGAGTTGGCCCAATTGGTTAGAGCGCGAATTTACTGACCGAAAGGTCCGTGGTTCGAATCCGACCTCCGCCACTCGACTTCCACTGTCTAGGCTTGGGCAACTTGGCAGTATCCCAGCCCTCGTGCTTCCTTCGGGTAGCATGGCAGCTAGGCAACGGAAGGGTGCTACAGCTGAACGCCATTTCACCGAGCTTGTCAGTTGAATCGCATGCGTTTCATCACCAGCTGAGGTAATATCGTCAGTGCGGGTTTGGGTGGATTGATAAACAAGCAAGACGATAAACGAGCAACACGTCCCAGCTACTTATACTCCGCAACATTGCCAATTAGCCAAATGCTTCTTGAGTGAGATCCCCAGATCCTAGGTTCGTATGCCTCATAATTGTCAGGTGCTTCTATGAGGGTCGGCAGGATTTTTGAAGGTACCACTTCAATGCTTCGAAGCATACAAATTTCCTGACAAATTTCAATGAATGGGCTGTACAGAGAAATCAGTTTTCGTGAGAATTTTGCTAATGTCTATATTAAACTAAAAACAGCACAAAATTCTGCTAGTCAGTTGGCATTTAGAAGTCGTAATTTGCCAATTAATCGCTGTGGGGATCAGGACTGTTGATTCCTACTGTTATGAGTATGCGAAAAATTGTCAGATGAGTGGGGCTTTATGTGACTGACCTTGCTGAAATGTCTACATGGATTAGAACTGGAAAGCGTGGCAAGATGCCCGAGACTATTGATTGGCGTACTGGAATGCCGGAGATAGAGATAAACGTGTAAGACTGACGTGATGCGAACAGTGGATAAGGGCAGATTTGATCTCTTACTCTGGTAACAATGATCCACCAAAAAATGCATGATTTCGATAAAACCTTCGGAGCTCTAAATATGGCCATCAGTAGATGAGTAGTCCATCTGAGAACACAGCAAGAGATGATTACAACAAACTACATGGTTCACAGTTCACTGGAAACTGTTTCGAACGATTTCTTGCTAATTGGGTAGTTGATTCTGTTCAGTTGCCTTGATACCGAACACATTTTGGATATGAAATCGAAACCCACCTGTAAACAGATCCACTCTTTGGGCGTGTGAATGCGATGTTTGTTCGATTGCACTGCGGTGACGCGGATTCTAGGTGGCTTGAAGATAACGGTTTGAATTGATAACAATACACACGGAACAATAATGGACACACAGGCACGTCCCACGTAAGTGTCATGGTTACGCGTGTTTCAAAAGTACCCATCACCTCGCTGCTCTTAAGTGGTATAATTTTACAAGTCCACCGCGAAGGATATGCAGTCTGGATGGTTTATGCTCCACATTAGTATATGTCTAGTACTGCCTGTGAAAGTCAAAAGCCCTTGGTCATATCGAAACCATTAGTGTATAGGGAGGAAAGAGCAATAATTGGTCTGATTTTCCGAAAAATTACGTAGTGAGGCACTAGCAGGTGATAGTAAGGTCCATACTTTTGGCCAAAAATAGCAAAAGCTTCCGTTATTACATACACTTCGACTTAATACTGGCCGAAAATCGTTAGACGACTCTCTTCTGATTGCTTGTTCACGGTGCTGACTTTGCCACTGTTCTCATAAACATTGTTGTCGTTTACGAGAAGCCCGTCCTATTTTTTGTGTGCCTCATTTTACAGTTGTCCCTTTTCCATTTAGTCTTCGACTTGGGGTTAAAATGCTTCACAGAGGAAGTATGACCGCATGTATGGACATTCGGCACGCGTTTATTCGTGGGCCGAACCAACTGACTGATGCAATTAATCAACAACTACTTGGAGGGCAATATGTCAATGGAGTATACCAAGTACCATGCAGTAAGCGTGATTCTTATCCACCGGTTACTTTCGTGGCTGGACGATACAGACTCACGTTGACATGGAAACAATATATCATAATGGTGAGTGCGAAGATTGCCAAAACAGTCGAATCCAGCGGCTGGCACTACGATTCAAAACAATTGTGAAGAAGCTACTCATGTTATACCGTGCATTTCGGTGCTACTTGAAGCATATCCCGTATACAGTAATCGCCCGACGTTGGTTAGCCGGAGGACTCTTCTTAAGTTCCTGAGTGATGAAAGTCCAAGAGCCTAGCATATCAAGACTGAGGCTTGTAGATAAACATTAGTCAAACGTAGAAGCTTATGCCTCAGTTTTTAAGATGTACGTTAAAGGTGATGGCTGCCGGGTGGTCGAAATTTTATTCTAGAAGCCACTGTGATATACTTATTCAAGTTTATTTTTACATAAGCTTGTATTCAGTCCTGATCAGTTGCCTGTAGGAAACTTCGCAGATTGATTGCCATGTGGCTTACGGGTTCGACAAACCCCTACAGTATGGAACACGAAAAAGGCAAGTATACATTCTTTTTTTGTCTTGCGTGTTTCGCTGTACCAAGACTGGAGGAACAGTCCTGACACAAAAAGAGCTATATTCGGAAGCTAATCTCGGATCAGTGTGAGCTATCGGAATGGATTTTGTGTTTGAATTATCCCAAAGACCGGTCCAGCTTTCCATGATTCTGTGCTTTTCACCGTGCTGTTGAAGTTATTGCATATGGACCTATAAATCTGATTTCACTAGGACCCGGTAGTCCTTCGGTTTGAAAACGGGTTTCTTAGGATGCGACATGGACCCACTACGACACGGCTGGCGCAATTTCGCCACGAGGAAAACGTTGGTCCTTGTTCATCAGTTGGTGTGACCGAAATGGAGTATGAACTGGAGTACGAAACTTTGCTGTCTCAAGTTCGAACGTAGAGGCAAGAGAAACGCGCTCTAGCAAACTTCAAGCAGAACGAGGTTGAAGGGAGATAAAGTAAAGCCTTTCCTGCTGCGTTGATGCCTTGATATTGTTAAACGAAGGCTAGAAATGCATTCCCGAATAAAACTGTGTAATACAAGCAAAGTCAGTCATACGAAATTCTCCATGTTGTTTCATGGTTCTATCCATAAGATGCTGTTGAGTATGCTACATTTGAAGTAGTAAAAATAGTGGCACCGGGAATCCATGTGCTATTTCCACCCAACATTAGGAGTGCTAAATTGGGAATGTGTTACAGAACAGAATTAGAGGCGCCACTTCCCCACAGTTTTAAGTGGCCCCATTTCCACAGACTCATCATTTAATATGAAAAACACAGCCGCTACTCTCTAGGTCGTGAATGACCTGTCAAGACCCTTATTCCCTAGCAGTCCTCTTTCCTAAAGGCGGAATCGGACCTTGTTCAGCGATCTGATTCATGACGTTGTTTAAAAGTTTCAACAAGATCACTCTCACAGATCAGGTTCGCCTGTTCCAGCCCTACAGCTATCTAACGACGAAAAGTGGGTTCGAGCAGTGCTAACCACACCGTCCATTTATTCTCAACTTTTTGATGAGAAGCAAGCTAACTAGTGAAATGTATGTGTGTGCTGTGTGCAGCCGCCCCAGAAATAAAACTACTACCTTATTTTCTTCCTCCTTAGGCCAGACCGGCCCCGCGCAGTCCTGCTGTGTGCAGCCGCCCCAGAAATAAGACAGTACTACCTTATTTTCTTCGTCCTTAGGCCAGACCGGCCCCGCGCAGTCAAGTGGCTCAGACTGTTTGGTCATTGGCTCAGGGAAGGGTCTTCGAGAAAGCCTTAATAACCGCTGCCCCGTTCTTCGACTTGGACAACCGGGAAGTATCATTAGCTCAGCAGCTCATCGGCCTCCCTCCATACCCCTCCCAAACCATCGCATGATAGAGTACGGTCAAGCCATTTTCCAATTCTCTAGCTATTTTTCACTGTCTGAACGATCACCCAAGACATCAAACCGAAATAATCACCGACTAAACTCAAACGGTACGGCCCACGTTGCAGCATTCAGTGTCTGCACTCTGTGTCAAATCAGGAAAAAGGCATCTCTCGTCGAAACCTTGTTTTCCTTATCTGTCGATGCCTGTTGTATCTTGGAAACACGAATACAAGACTTAACTTTGGTCGTGCATCTCAGGTCACTTAAGATAAGATCAAAGTTTTTCCCGAGGTTCTGATGCTCATTACGCAATGACTCGTGAAACCTACGTGGTGGAGTAGCACTCAGCCACAGGGATGAAAGTGCTGTACTGGATTGGATCCCAGTAACCAGTCATCCTTGCGGTTTGCGGTTGTCTGGTTCAAGTAAGATTGATGAAAGATGTAACGGTAAACCATGTTTGTCCGTTGAATTAGCATACCTTCCAGCAGACTGCAGTTCTGAGACTGGGAAGGGCGTGTGTTTTCGAGATCTCAAGACTGTTCCGGTCAACAAGAATGACGGATATAACAATTTTGTCGGATAATATGAATGCTCAAGTTAAACGACTATGTTCGGAAGAAGCACAGTTAGGTTGTGGATTTGAAGTCGGTCCCCAGCGCATGGATAATGGGGAGAGACTGTCTGATAATCGGGGACTGCGCCTACCTGATGA